ATACTCCAGTGTAAACTCGGAGCTCTACAAAGTACAGTAAAAAATAAATACAAATATTAAAAATGTCCGGTATCTTGTTCAAAATATAAAAGACAAGATAAATGGTTAAAATGTTCTCAAACTATCAAATATCAATAATTTCACATGTAAAAATATCGTATTTTTACGTGTGTTCAAATACCACATTTCTCGGTGGGAGAAATCCTTGTAAAACACTGCAGTTTATATAATAAAAATCAAGTAATTTTTGCAACTTCGGTAACTTAGCCTTCGTAAATTAGAATCGCTTGCTTGATTACTGCCATCGAGTAAATCACAAGATGTCGTTCAGTCAAGTCAATTCCCGTTGAACTATACATTTATCCAATAACTCCAGACGATACTGTGAGAAAGTTGCAAAGTACGTTTATATGATGACAATTATTCACTAAAGTAGAGGTTCGTGGCTCGGTAAATAACCAACACCCTGAGCCACCGACACTGAGGTGAAAATCTTTTTAGTATATTCTAAAACAGTGCGATTATTGAGCACAAAAATGATGATTTGTAACTCATGTATTGCTGCCAACGATTACAATTTTGGCTCGCAAATGACCGAACGGCTGTCAAGTTTTCTCGCCGACAAATAAAACTTTTGAAGGCATTTGTTTTGCTCTTGCTGGGAAATTCTTCAAAAAGTTGTGATATTTTTCTGTATTTGAAACCATTCTGTAAAAACTCATTTAATTTAGTTTTAAGGATATTTATGAACATGTCAGCTGAATAACGCAACGCAAGACCTAATTTGCATTTGTAAAACAATACCCTTTTTCACCGGTTTCATCGATATATTCAGGTTAAAAAGAAAAAGGTTTTCCTGTAAAAATTGCAAAACCCAATTTCGTCGCCTTCTTCCTGTTGTCCGAAACAGCTTCTTCGTTCACTTGTGAAATTTACGTGAATTTCTTCGTTTGTTTATACGGTAGCAAACCTGCAATCAGAGCGCGCGAACACATTATGCAGTCTGTTTCAGACTAAATTGAATTATTTTGCTTTCGTTTATCCTTGTCTCCAGCTTATGTAACTTTGGTGCCGGCGAGGGCAATGTATGATTTGTATTTCCTTTAGTCTTGAAAGAGTTAATACTTTTGAAGTTCGTTTACTTCCGCTCTTACCAATGTAAGTGACCGAAAGATAATGCGAGGTTGCAACTGGTGAAATAGGATCGACACAGGTGCGACGTTTGCTACCACGCTGGAATGAAGTCGACTCTTTGTCGCACCTATTTTAAATGTATTCGACGCGACTTAGATTCGACGTTTGCCCTAGGCCTTAGCCTTCGTAATCTTGCACATGTCAATACTTTTGGGGTTCGCCTGGTTCCGCTCTTACCCATGCTCTAATAAAACACAATACAACTCGTATCAGACCAAAAGATTACTGAAGGAAACATCAATACAATAATTTGCCTCAACCCCGCCCCTCCTGCCCCCCGCCCCCCTCTACCTTTTATTAGTACGTCTTCGCTTTCCAGTCGAAGTTGACCGTTGGCTTTTGAGAAAATAATGTTGAAGAGCCGCAAATCACGTCGGTTTACATCATGTGTTTTTCTAAAAAAGTTCAGGACTGACCGAAATAGACAGTATTGTATTTCTACCATGAAGGAGGAGGCTTCTAACCAATGGAATTGTGACGCGTTGGTCAGCTAGCAGGTGTGTTTTTGAATAAGTTTTTGTGTTCCTTTGTGATAATCGAACACCTGTGTTCACTGTAGACTGTATAATAGTAGTGGTAAAACTGTTAAAAATCGATTACCGGCGAGATTACCGACAAGCTTAGCTTGTTCAGTGTGAAGTACTATACAATAAAGAAGAGTCAACATCCAGAGAAGTCTCAGTTCTTGTTCAACCTCGATCTCGTACCTTGGGTCGTAGAAATTAGACCCTGTACCTCTGACAGTAGTAACGAGTGCCTGCAGCGAGCCAGTCGCAATACCGAATTGCCGTTTGAGATTTACAAATCGACTAACTTCCTGTCATTGCTACCGTCGAGTGTAATGATTCTAGATTCTGTTAGCTTTTCTTTCTCGTTCTCTTGCTTTCTTTCTTCTTCGTTAAGGATCAGAGAGCTTCTTTTCACTTGAAGCAAGTTGTTGTGGTTTTCAGTGCCGTCCGTGTATTTATTTCATTGCATGAACTGAGGTCTATGGCTTTCTCCTTCTGAGTAGATCTTTGTTATATATGAAGTTTGTTTTTGCGTAAATTAGATTCCATAATCAAGTGAATTTGATAATACTGTCTTGTTCATTGTTACAAGTGATATGTCGAATACTTAATGAGTGGTCTTCAATTTTCCCAAGCACGGCTATGTAAAAAAAAAAGCTGAAGAACACCTTTTCTAAGGTTGTGAAGAGGGCACTAATTATAATGGGATCTTTTTTATAATTTAAGGAATATTTTCTCAAAACCCCTTAAATCTAATTTCTCTTTTAAGTACAGTCGAATGTGTAAACAACGTCTAACGACAAAAATGCAAGTCAGATGTTCTTATTTTTGAACTTTTATTTTACTGAGTTAAACTACAGTCCACCTTATGCCGTTGTGACTATAGTCCAGGAATAACATTCGACAACTTAATTTATCTCTTAAAAACTAATAAATTCAATCAAAACGCTTCAAGCCAATTAAACCAAGTTCCAAAGATAATATTACGTTCTAACACAAAATAACATTTTTTGCGAAATTTTGTGGGGAAAAGTCTCTGGCGTAACAAAAAATCACACACACTAAACTTTTTAAAAATAAATTGATAAGGAAACTTGAACAAAAACTAGAGAAAACTATTACTGCTATCATCCTTGTCTGTCTTTTCAAAAACTATTAACAAAAAAAGGCAAGAGCAACTATCAATTAACTCTAAGCAATTCGCAAAATTAACAAAATAAACCTATTATCCTCTAACAGGAAGTACATGGCTAAGAACAAGACTTATACTACGCATGTTGAAATGTTCCTTCAGTTTTGCCTTAAGAATTTCATCATGCAGACATGTTTTTCCAGGGAGTAGGTAATCCCTTATAATCTGCCAAC